GGTTGCATAGGCAATGTCACCTTGCTGAAGCAGCACACTATGTGCGTTGGGAGGAGCATTAAACAAACTGGTTAAGTTAACTACGTGTACTAGTTTTGCCAACTAACAAGCAGACGAAGAAAGGCGTTCGTTCCCTCAACTAACTTTTTCGCTCGCTCACTTCCAAAACTTGTTGGGGGGACGTTGCGACCTGCTGCTCAGTTTACAACACTTAATGACTCTACCAACGTACAGAATCAGTTCGATCGCAACCGTGCAATCAGACGATGCGAGCATGGAGTTCGACTGGAACACCATTACTGGAAACAGTTCCACTTAAGAAAATTAGGATCGACTGGTTATATTTCGTCAAAGATGATGACGTGACGATGACGTGACGATGTCATCAACTTCGCCGTCCCCTCCGCACGGTGGAAGATTGGGGAAGGGCGGAGCGTACCCAGTGTTTGTTGTGCTGCAGCTGGCTGCACCTCCCGCGCAACATTTCGTCGTCAGTTATGCTAAAGCGCCCTCTACCGTCTGCGACCAAAGATGCACTGCCGAGCCGATAGAGGGCGCTGTAGCATAACTGACGACGAAATGTTGCGCGATAGGTGCAGCCAGCAGCATTTCTATGGCACCCTGACCTTCCTCCTTCAGGATATGGGAATAGGAGTCATTCCGAAACCTGATGGAGAATATTTTTATATCAGCTGACGCGGTTAATGCCTGTAACTGTACATCATGTTCGCAAGGAAGGCCCCCCGCCTTGTAAATTCCGCTATTTCCTGATCAGAAATCAATGAAGATTCTCCCTTCGAAACACCGTGGTGTTTGTTATCCAAACGAAACTGTTGAGTCCCGTGTACATACAGATCACTAGAAAAGTGGACATTTGTGCAGACACCAAAAACTTTTCGTTGTGGAAACTGGTTCGTATCAGTTGACTAAACTAGTAGAGAGGTAGTTTTCTCAACGACAGCTTGTTCGTTGTCACAACGAAAATTATTTAGTTATCCGAAAATCAACTAAACTGTTCGTTGTCCCAACTAAATATTTTTCTCCGTGCAGAAATCGATTTTGTACTTCTCACTGCTACGATATGTGTATTTAAACACGGGTGCAATGATTCTTATCACGTTTCCAGTACCCGTCAGGCAAGTTGTCGGCATTGTCGTGGTGGCCGGGCATATCCACGTGCACGAAGATGGACCGGTCCTTGATTTCCTGCATGCACGGATGGTTGACGAAGTCCAGGAACGAGTGATCTGCGGGAGGCGGGAGGATACGATTAGTGGGGCGTGGGACGGCTGGCGGCCGCTGCTGCGCGCTGCTGTCGGACACTCACGGTTTGTGCCCAGGTCGTGCACGGTGAGGAAGCACGCCCGCTTCTCTTGCTGACTCACTTCGCCCTGCGCACACAGAACAAGGCGTTACAACGAACGACGGGGGCGTATGAAGAAAGGCAATTTGAGTTAAATACGCAACAAAAGCTGCCCGAGAGTCAGTTTTGTTGGCTGCATCTATCAACTAGCAGGCAACATCCTGGCAGGCGTGTGTAGATGCAACCCACCACGCATAGGTGAAATCGTGGGAATTTTTGCCTACTTTATCCAGCCATAATGGTCCTCTCATCTCAGCGACAAGCCTGGATCAATCGTTCCGTGTGTCCACTTATCATGTCAGATAGCAACTGAGCATGTAGCACGCACGAGAGCACCGTGGTTACATCTCTCTCTCAATTCATTGATGAAGCAAAGGTTGTTTTTTTTTTGTTTTGTTTTTTTACTTTTGTCTCTCTGGACTGACCACGACCAACATACTAAAGCAACTACTATCCAAAATTTGTATTTTTGAACTCCCCCTGCCCCCCTCCTTTCCCTTGACTCCAGTAGGGGTTACCAATGTCGCACCCAGAAAATTGTATCATTGAGACAAGCCGAAATGGCTTGCTTCAGCGCTATATTTAGCGAAAAATATGAGAATTTTCGTTTGAGGTAAAGGCAAATGTCGTTAGAATAAAGTAAACATTTCCTTAGATTAACCTAATTTCCTTGTAAACAATGGGAATGGGAATACCATAAACCAAGGACAAACATTTCCTTGAAATTTTTAAAAAAGAATTTTCCTTGTTTTGTTCTTTTGTGTGTTTTTTTTTTTTTGGTTGTTTTTAGCCCGCCCTTCTGCTTTGAAAAAGCTATTCAGCGGGCTTATGCAAACGACCTCGTGTTTGTCTGTCTGTCTGTCTGTCTGTCTGTCTGTCTGTCTGTCTGTCTGTTCCACTAGAAGGAGATGTGCTAGAGACTTGAAATTTTCAGGGTATCTTAAGGTCCACTTCTAGAGAACGAAACGCCTACGGCAAATCCTGGCAACCATCCCTAAAGGGCTAAAAGGGGGTATTAAAGAAAATGGGGTAGGCCAAAAAAGTCAGAAAAAAATATTTTTTTTATGCTTTCCTAAGGGGTAACTCGTCAAAGTAGAGCCCTTTGGACGAAAATTTCGTCCGTTTTGCTCTATCTCTCACCGTTTCGGCGCTGGAGGGTCTTTTTTGACGAAAATAAGCTAAAAATTGCTGTAGTGAACATTTAGTTCTCTAATTGCAAAGTGGAGCCCCTCCCCTTAAAAAATAAGTTTTTCTAAGCAGAAGGGTGGGTTGTAGTCACGGTGCGTCACCGTTACATTCCTTTCTCATGCGTCTAAGGGACAAATTTTAATGACGACGGGTTTTAGCGGGCCGAAGGCCCGCTGTACCACTTGATTATGTTTTTCGACAAATTTAGCAAAAACGGTCGGGCCGCAGGCCCGAGCGTCGCCGCCGGCAGGCCAAGCAGGCCCGGCCCCTGCCGAACGGAGTTGCCGGCGCAGCGAAGCGGAGCTGGCAACTCCGTTTGGCGGAAGGGCGGGCCTGCTTGTTTTGGTGTGTTTTTATGGGTGTGGGCCACACACTCACCTGGACGTGGACATGCAGATCGCCACATCGCTCCGACGACACGATATAGTTCTGAAACGGAAAGAAACATTTTGGTTAGTCCCGTTGAAGTTGAAGAAGATAGGGCAAGAGCGGGGCGCGACGCTCCTGGGCAGAGCTGCGGAACGCCCGCTGGGTATGCAACCGCACTGGCGGCGCTGCGCGGGGCGAGCCGCGGGGGCCTAGCTGCCGGGCTCACTGCCTCTCGCCGGGAGCAGGGCGGTAGCCGGGCGGCGTAGAGCCGGGCCGCGGGGGCCACAAGTAAACAGCCTCAGGATGTGGGAGCTCACGGGAGAACCAGTGGCACTCCCAAGGGAACCAATGCTTTCATTTCAAAATGGAGTATTAAAGTCGTTGGCACGTGTGGTTTTGTACTGCACCACTAATGTCTCCCCATGACTCGTGCATGTTGTGTAGCCCATCATAGTTTTGCTTGTACAGCGCTTTTTGTTTGGGGGGGGGGCGAGGGGCGGAAGCTTTGCCACAAGGAAAGGTGTGTGGTGGTGGTGGTGGTGGTGGAGGCGCTTGGGGGAGGGGCAAGGTCCCAGGTTCACCTCGTGAAGCGTGCAGCTGGGGGTGGTGGTGGTGGGGGCCTTCGTCACAGGTCACAGGCGTGACTACAACAGCTGGCGCACCTGACGCTGTTGGGAGCGGGCGGGAGGGAAGGGAAGCATCCGGGCGGAAAGCATTAAGCGGGTGAATGTGATGGTTGGTGGTGGTGGTGGTGATGGTGGTAGTAGCAGCAGCAGCAGCGGCATTGTTGTACAGCAGAGTGTAGTTTCGCCGCGGGAAAATTCGTTTTCATGCCACGCTATAGCGTTATATTGTGTTGGGGTTGCGCTCGCTCAGAGGGTTTCTCGCTAACGTTACTACAAATAGCTGTTCACACACACACACAGTCACACGTGTGCGAGTAAATCAACGCGCCACGCACGCCAACTCTCAATCCAGTTGCTGCATCCACCTCTGCGGCGGCCAATCAGTGCGTTGTGTGAGCTGCATACGTTGGTCACTCTGCCCCGCCCCTGAGTGGCCTCTGCTGCTGCTGCTGCTGCTGCTAGGGGCTGCTGGACTGACCTGCGGGCCTCCGCTCAAGTGGTGCGCGGCGGGAATTTAGAGAGAGATGGAGAGAGACGAAAGATCGAGGAGAGAGAGAGAGAGAGAGAGAGAGAGAGAGGGAGAGGGATAGAGATGCGGTTGTGGGTCAGGCAGAACGCTTCCGGCCTATGCCGTGCTCTGGGTCGTCCCAGCATCCGAAACCCCCCCTCCAGGATGGACCAAGCAGCCCCAGCCCCAGTCTCTCCCTGCTGCTGCTGCTGCTGCTGTAGCTTCTCCTTGCCTTTTCTCCTCCTCTCGCTCCCCCTCGGCAGCAGTCGATGGACGGGTGGGGGGCTCGCTCGCTGCACGATCCGCTGATCTCAGCCTCTCCCCGAAGCCCCTCCACCCCCTCCTCCTCCTCGTATAGAACAACAGCAATAGATTGCCAGCAGTCTCGGTGAATACCGTGCCGTCCTGTGAGGCGGGCCGGGCGGGCCTCTGCCGGGCATCGGCCACGTGATCCAAGAGGCGCCCCGGCCGCTCTCTTTTCTGCCCTGAAAAGCTGAAAGGCTGACCGCATAGAGAGGGCTGGTCGGGCCGAGGCTGTTCTGTTTACTGCGGGTAGAGAAAGAAAGAGAGAGAAAGAGAGAGAGAGGGGGGGGGGCGACACACATACAGGGTCTTTTCGAGGGGTCTGTGGAATACGATACAAGACAAACATGGAGTTTTCGAATGAATTAGGCACTCACATTACATCGTGTAGTCTCTTTGAAAAGAGACCCCGCGGAAACCGCGGAGGAAAGATGACGAGTAGGTACCCCTTTTTCGACGCCCGCTGCTGCCCGCCCCCTCTTGGTGTTGTCTGAGACACATCCGTGTCCAAATTCGGCAGAAGCAGCCGTGAAGGGGTTGCGCGGGTCCTGTGTGCCGCCGGGTGGGGGCGGCTTA